TGTACACTCATTGCTGGAGGTCAAGGCCTGTACATCTGAATCCCCTAACATTGGTGCGTCCCTTGCGTACCCTAGGCACCGCCTCATGCAAGCAGATGTCCTTAGTGGGTTTGTCTTTACTGCATTTGCAAGCTGTTCTTCTAACTGCCGAGGTTGCTGTTTCCGCGCTGTTGCAGCAATTCCGCTGTCCCTTGTACACATGGTATTCGCCAGTGCTAGACTGGAGGGGTTTATTGCATCTACGCATCGCAATCAGATAACTGACTATACTCTTTTTTGAACCAGTATGGCCTCACTGGCGCAGCTTGCCAACAGGTGAGAGGTATGAATCGAGCGCACAACGTTTTCACACCCTCTTTTCTAACAGACAAGCGGACTTCAACAGATGAATCATGTCGCAACATCCTCTCCAGTTGAGTGCAATCTCCAGTGAGACACTCGAAGCTAATTTTGTAGTCGTTGTAGAACGGCTCTTGTGGACGCGAGTAGGACAGTGGTAAGTCTAGGCTGGCTATGACAATTGTGTTTTTACTCGCTGCCGGCGGCTCCAAGATCTGAAAGTTAGTAGAAGCTACTCAATATCAGATCCAGACACGACGGATTTGGATACAGTGTAATGCGTGTCGGCTTGCAGATGTGCTGTGCTGCCGAGGTCTCATATATTATTTCCGCAAACGGTGCCCCCACTTTGCCATGCCCCGGTTGAAGTTGAACCCCAGACAGGATTACTCGAAGTAAGTGGAAATCACCCACCAGCATGAATGTGGCACGACTCATTTTTATGGACATGCGGCAATCGGTTCAAGAAGTGGCTTTCTAGATTTTTAAGATATTCATCCCAATAGTTCACAACCTACATAGCACAACCTAGTTCGGAAAGCACCAGACACGTTTCGCCCCATTGCGGCTCATCAGGGGTGCGCATTTCCTCGATCTACTACTCTAGATTGAACCCATGACCACTAGAGGCAGATGTTAACTAGCCGGCAGCTTAAGCCACTGGGCCAAGAGGGACATTGGTTGGGCTACATAATTTACAAGCTAAATGGGATAGAGTACCACCTATATTCCACTGTTACTGACAATTGGTAGTCTGCGAGGGAGATGTGGTCCTCTAGCTGGACACTATATCCATAGCATTTGAAACCAGGAGAGGCTATGCATTTTCTCTTACTATTGAGTATCAGGACCTTAGTTGTAATTTTTAAGGTATTCATCTCAGTAGTTCACAAGCTACATAGCACAGCCTGGTCCAGAATTGTGATAGGCCATACCCACGAACAGTTCACGATACATCAGGTGGATTGAGTACCCCATTTGTTCACACGCAATCCTCGGTTCGGTAGGTGCTTAAGAGCATGACGCAGAAGGAAAACCGGATGTGTAATCGCACGCCACTATGGACAATTGATAGTCCCCGAATTAATAGCAACTGAACTGGACTTCCTGGACAGTTATCTCAGATTCAATCAAGTCTCACGCAATTCTGGTGCGTCCGGTCACCGGGAGGCAGCGAAGTGACACAGCTCGTCACGTTTGCTTAGGATACTGGGAAAATTAATAAGGGCTGCGTGTAGACCGCGGTAAGAACCTCCAATGACACTTGGAGCGTCATCGATCTGTTCCTCCTGATTCGACGAATCTGGGAAACTACACAAACAATTACAATGAGAAGAGTCATTTCGCCACCAGCATTACATTTTTCAATTCATTTATACCAAACTTAATTTTTTCCTGCTTGAAGGATATATTTATGGACAAATATGGATCATCAAACCTCGGCCTACTCATAAGCGTCAGTAGGAACTTCAGACTTGGTACATCAACAAAACTGGCTCACACAGACGCATCTTCTCAATACTTCTATTTCCAAGCCGGATGAATTGTTTTATTCTCAAGCCCTCTTCCGAGTCCAACAACCGAACTTAACAAAACTCGTCGTGGTTATGGCGAGCCAGGAGACTTGCTCCAGCTGAAATACCATGAGCTTGCAATGCATGTGGTCGCTTGGAGTTGTTCCGCTTTTTTTCCTTCTTGGCGTCTTCTCCTGACCTACATCACTTTCAATTTCGCATACTACGACGTCAATATCCGTAAGGTACAACTCAGGCCCACTAGCGGAGCTAAAAGTACCAGCTGGTTGGACACTAAGTCCAAATAGCTACACTTTTAGTCATACGTTCACTTCAATGGTACCTACTCGTAGACTTCCCATTCTGCGGTGGAATTGCTAACGCGCCAGCACGTTAGACAACTGGTCATCTTAGTCCGACTTCAGACCACTTAAGGATGCAGTAATTTAATTTTCCTTGGTACTATCGCCTAAAGCCAAGAAGTATAACGACTGATGGCAAGGTAGGATGGACACTTAAATTCCTTATAATATGTTTTAAATTTTTTCCCTTACGTTTCATATATGAACCAGAATACCTGCAATACACAAGTCCCAAATTTTGTCGGCCTATCAGGTTTTTGATTCAAATCTTTACGGACAACTACTTTAAAGCATTTCCTTATCTTTATTCATCCTATCAACAAATTACATCATTCCATAACCGGATACGGACTCCCGAATGCATTGCAATAAATAGATTAGGTAATCCCGAACATTTTTTCAAGAGAAGACCAAAAGAAAGCCTTTCATACTGCATTCCCGGTTCAATCTCCAAGATTCATAAAGTGGTACAAGATTCCTCATTGGGCTTGCCTCATCCTTCGTCTGGTTTTCGGAATCAAAAAAATACATCTTTTGTTTGCTTAGTTCGTACATGAGTAAGAAACTTCCATAAACACTAATCGGATCGTGTACGAGATCGGCCTGTCGCAGAGTAACTGGTATTACGTTTAATTAATCCACTAAGTGTTTATGGTGGTAGCTCCCAAGTTAGATAGTGTTCCACATGTCCGGAAAAGCGCAAAAAATATCGCTTCGTTCTATCTAAACTTATCAGTAATCCGCTTCCATTGGCACTACCAGGATCCGAGCTCACTACCACTAGCTGCTTGCGTTTCTAACCAGCAGCTTATGCCACTAATTAACGGCGGACATCATTGGACTGTAATGAGTTGTATAACTATGCCGCACATAGCTGCTGCTAGGGGGTGTACATGACGCCCGGGGCCAATCCTGTCCTTTGCAACGTCCGCAACCTCTACAGTAGTGAAGAACGAGTCATTCTCTCGCAAGGGATTTGTACGTTACGAGGGTCCGTCGCCGTCTCTTTTGGCCAATACCATTAACTACTGGATATTGGCACATGACACTAGCGATCATGTGGTCGCTTCTTGATGGACCCGTGGGAGCGGCACTGTCGAGAAGTTCCGATGGGATAAAACGTCCATCTCATGCTTTTGCGGTCGTGTGAAATGCTACTTGACTAGTAGGCTACCGAGAAGAACCCTCTATTAGTCCCATTAAAACCCCCGGCCAATTTATTTATTTATTTTGTTCCATATCCTTATTTTTCAGGAGATTTAATGTGCGCTAAAAGAACACACTCAGCTAAGGCAGCTGTTTCATCCCCGATTTGTCCAATGATGGTCCATTCTGGATCAATTATTACATGGTGTGGTTGGAAACTCAGTCCCGTGAGTAACCAGAGAATAGAGAATTAGTTTTCGAGCGTCTGAATCGCACCATTACGTGATACGATCATAACTGGGCACAAAGTTGGAACTAGGTTACAACATTAATCTTCAGTAACGCGTTGGTCGCTACTGTAACGCACAAGCACCTCCTATTTTTACGCAAAGGTAACTTAAGATGACTACTACAATTTACCCACAAGATACAACACTCGGAATTTGTCCTGTGTAGAACATTCTTGGTTACCCGTGACATAAATGCTGAACAGTATGGGAACTTTCGATGAGAGAAACTACTTCTAAACAAGGGGGAAATAAATAGCGGAGAGGATGGTAACTGTTCCGGCACTAGATTTGGATTATAAACTTACTAAGAAACTCCCCGACAGAGGAGATTAGCATAGCAATAAAATCGTCGTCACTCAGCTCTTTACAACACGAGGTATCCAGCTTCGGGGGTAACAGTTCACTGTGTGTAGAATTGCTGTAGAATACTGGTGCACGGCTTGTTTCTAAGGAAGTAGGCATTGGAAGAAAGACAGTGTAAAGTTACGATGAAAGCGTGGAAGCAATGAGATCGGCTAGTGTAAAAATGTGAAATGTAAGTGGATTAAGTTAGCTAACGTTGCAATTACCTCGCAACTAAATCCTATAATACTTTAAGCCAAAATTTGAAAATGCGCTGTGTGCCACACTCTTCGTGTGCATCTTCGGTGATTTAGCCGAACCAGCTGATCTTGGTGCCAACTGATTGGTTCGTACTTACCTCCTTTCAGTAGATGATTCGACGTTATTGTTTCATGACGTGGTGGTTTTACGCCTAGCAAGTGTTCTCCTTATAAAAGCCACTTAGGTCACTTATGACGTTGCGGATGTCACTCGTCACAGAATGCAGTCACTGCTTGTTGCTCCACTCCGGTGGAGCAGTGAATGCCGGGAGTCTGCTATTGATTTCATGGGGAGGCTCTGGCCCCTATTTGACGGCCAACCGAACAAAAGGAGTATGCAGTGAGCCATCGGTCACCGGCTCCCAGTGGACGTGATTCTCTGAATTCGATCCGCTGCCCTGAAGGGTGGGCTATTCATTTGGTGGCCAACTTCGGCTTGGGCGACCGGGTAATATGATGCCGTCTGACAATACCATGGAACTATGCGTGTTGCGTTCGGTTTTTGACACAATTGTGCCTTCTATGGTTTTCTATGGTTTTTTATGCCTCCATCTCTATACGTGCAGTTAGTGCGTCCAGAAAGAAAACGTGCGGCACCCAAACGCCATCTACTGGTGGACTATAGCTCATCGGCTACTTACACATGGAGCTGTAGTGCATGCGGCCATGGGTGTCTTAGTCCAGCCGATCTAGCCACTCACGAGCGGGACAACGATGGGGCTCTGCCAGAAGCCCAATATGAGATCGAGCACCAAGGACAGACATGTAGCACCTGGTGAGACACATCTGGCGGAGAGACATCTTAACTCAGCTTCTGTTAGTCGGGATGTGCGGACGGCAAATAGTATGGAGGAATGTGAGTCACAGTGGAATACCCATCCTCTCACAGCATCACGGGCTAGGTCATTTGCGCAGACACTCAACTAAGCAATGTTGCAGTGCAGGCGTTCTGTATCTGATTAAGAGAAATATTCAAAGCTAATCTGAACGTAGATAATCCCATACGATTGCCTCATACTGAAGTTGATGTCGCACACATTATGTTTCGTCACGGCAGTTGGTTCACACCGACTTACCATTACCGTATTTCTACCTTAATCCGCTTACCTTGCTTTGCTCACTACTGTCTCTCGGTCGCACATTCAGTGTGCGTTTCGTACATGCTGCTATGGTCTCATTCTTATGCCTAGGTGCAAATTCCCCATAATCCAGTGAAGTGTTAGGCTTGATCTGCACTCCTTGACACAGAGCCATGCGACGATCAATCATCGTGTAGCAATACCACGGGTCTCCACTCAGTAACCTGTGCGTCGCGATGGACGGACCAAGTCAGATTATGCCACGGGACGGGGATCCTAAGGAATGCTGGTTAGTGAGACAAGCGGAACGTAGATACCATTCAAGTTTGTCAAGAGATTGTCTCCCATTGAGTATTTACTATTGCGCATGCGAGTTCTCATAAATTAAAGAACCCAACCCATGTGTCCATGTATTATTATTATCCGTGGAGGTACATGTCTTTCCAATCAGTTTTTCGTAGTTCATACACAAATGTACACAAACGCGTGTGAGTATACGTGATTACACAGTGTTCGTACTGCCATAGTGCATTTGCCAAAATGTGCTTTGTCGTCTCAGTCGGGTTAAATTCGACTGACTGTGCGTCGGACGTGCGCATAATACATGAAATCTTCTTGTGATATGCAATGCCTAGCTGCGCTTGTTGTGAATGTTGACAAGACGCCTACCTTCTTAACACCCTCCACCTCGATTACTGATTACAGGAGATGTTTAATTGTTGCTCGGGGTGGGGTGCTCCGTCCTCGTGCTGGTGCTAGGCTCGAAAGCTTGTTCAAGTGGGGAGCTAACTACGGTCCAACCACCGACTTGTGTAGGTCTAGTATGTATGATTTCCAATGTAGATAGACAAGAATGGTGCTGCTGTGCTTGAAACCTGGCTCACATCCACATGCCTCCCGGTCTTATATGCTAATTTAGCCAGGAGTTATGCCACCGCATTTGTAGGCATTATTCGGTTATTTTATTTCAGCTTGTTATTTCAAGTGATTGGCTGTTGCTTGATATCCCCGGTGTGGCTGCGCTTGACGTGCATGTTGGCAAGGTGTCTACCTGTCTATTACCAACTACCTCTTCTATACTGGCTCCAGGAGACAGTTGGTCGTTGCTGGAAGGGACGGAGTGCACTGTCCCTGTGGCCGTGCTAGACTCGAAGAGTGCTTCCAAGCAATCAGTGTGGAGCGGACTACGGTCCAGCCACCGCCTTGTGTGAGCTTGATTCCCAACTACAGCGTGCTTGGGTTTGCTGTGAAGGAGTTTGGACCGGCTCCGTTGATGAAACGTGGCTCCCATCCGCATGCCTGCCGGTCTTATTTCTTCGGTTTTACACTGGATATGAGGCGTGTGGTTGGAGCTGTGGGGGGTGCAGCGCAAGCCACCCATGGTCCCTCTGTAGACGCAGGTGTCCTGTGGCTGGCTACGGTGACAGGCAAATCCGAAACCGGATGCCGCCAACCATATCAATTAGTAGTCGTGTGCTGCCCACATGATAATGAATATGGTTCATGAGGCTCTTGATTGTCCCCATTTTGACACATTTAGCCTAAAGCGCAGGACGCACAATTGACGGTTGTATGAACACGCGGGTGCGTTGTTTGTGCACATCAGCATTGTGCCAAACGCGTAGACAACTGCTCGCTTCGACGGGTTTTGTAAACGGACCTACCAACTCTTACTTGGTGTAAGGACATCGAGTACTCCGCATCCCCAGAAACATAAGAATTTATTACAGAAATGACAGATACCAGTATGTTCCTGCCGGTAGGCCTCGTTTAGAACACATTTATGCAAAATGTGAACAAAAATTATTTGCAAGTTCTGCATAGGATGTAAGTGAACTCTGATTTAACCAAAAGACCAGAGTAATTGTAATTAAATGACCAGGGTTATTGGTACTTCTCAACTGATGTAACTCTTCGACGCTGTGTTGAATGAAATGATTTCAACTGCAAGGTTGCAGTGATCTGGTGTACATGTCTGTGTGACAAAGTACTCCAAAGTACTCATTACTGTGGCATGCACGAAATGAGGTGCTGTGTGCCGCAGCTTCTGCAGCGCTTGATACTGCCTCCTGTTTACCGGGTGAATGTGACCTGAACCCTGAAGTATCTGCTATCCGTCCAACTTTCGAAATAAGATGCGTTTACCAACAGCCAGTAATGATTTCAATTGATGGAAGGGGACAAAATTTGCTCCCATGGAATGGTACGACCATAACAGGAATGTCAATGTTAAGGCAGGAGACGAAGTTAACACATAAAGTTCGGGAGAATACAATATATAGGCTCCAGAAACACGCGGACACTAGCCAGTTCTACTCGCTCATACAGAGCTATGAGATTCATAATACTGTGCGCCACAACCGGGTTGACGTACTAGACATTTGCCTTGCACGAAGCATCATTGTTAAAGCACTGTGTAGTTACTTGGTTCATAAAACAGAAACGCACCTAACGGAAGACTCTCCCCCTCCCTTCATAAACCAGTGCAGATTGGTGCTGTGGCGGACGTGGCATATGTTTCCCACTTACGGTTAGATGGACTGTACCTGAATGAATGTAATCACAATATCCTCGTTGACTAAACAAAAGCAGAGAGCACTATATGTTCGCACGTGGGCTTATGGTTCGTCGGTAATTTCTTGGTTAGATAGATTTCCATTCGACAAAAGACACTATTATTCAAAAACTTACCGGTAAGGTCTTCAGGTGAGATTATAGCCTTCATTGGGCTTTTCCCTCTGCTATTGTTCTGTCGCAATGTGGCTGGACCCCATCGCAAAGAGGCTGGACCTTACCGTGGTGCGATGGTTTGTGTGCCTCAGTGATCCATCGAACTATGCTGAGTGGTGCATTTTTGCAACTTCAGAGCCACTCATACCAGATTGGTCAGTGGTTAGAGACCAGACAAATTCAGCCTCCTGGTCCTCCAGGTTGGGGGTTGGAATGAGGTGACTCCTTATTCCTTAAAACGGACTCCTTGTAGCCCAAAGCCAAACCCGCTGCCTTGCAGTCAGCTTTTTTAATCAAAGGCTTTGGTTGAGAACCCTAATCGTTCTCCTGTCTAGACCTGGGCAACCTGACAGTATCCTGCCCACGCAATACCATGAATATTATCTCAAACAAATTGCTGATGCTCTGGCCACCGCAGAGGATAATCAACGGTGCCATATATGCTGCATCGAGCAGGGTAGATGGGGGTTTGGATGCTACTTTTCAAGCCTTCTCGTGTTCTTAATCTCCTCTTACGCTTTTCTCCCGTATAGTCCCGTTCCAAATTCACTTTTAGCCCTCCAGTTTTCAATCCCTGATTCTTGGCCCTCCCCCAACATTTTTCGCTAGACGTTTATCTTCCAGTTTCAACTCACATGTGAACGCGGAGCGTCAATCCTGTCGTCTCCTGTCGACATGCCCATGTCCAAGCAAGCGCTCAAGCCCAGTTCATCGGCTTTCATTTGGAGCCCTCGATCCTCCTTCAGATTGGCATGCCTCAATCTACGCACATTGCTACAAATTGGTTAATAGGCAGCACTTGCCCAAACTTTAGAGACCCTCTTCATCGATATCTGCTGCTTATCGGAGACCCGCCTGCAGGGCTCGAGCTCTGTGCTCACTCTGCGATCCCCTTCAGGTGACATCAGCATTATATTCTCATTTCGCCTATCCGGTGACGATGCAGCTTTGAGCACCGGACAAGATGGTGTTGGCATTGCACTGAGTCCCCGGAGTGAAGCTGCTCTGGTTGATTGGATCTCAGTCAGTAGCCGGATGTGTGCGATCCGATTGACTGGCACGTTCAAAGCTTCGAAGTCGAGCAAGACTAATAGGTGTCTATTCATCATCGCTGTCTACGCGCCCACAAACTGTATCAATGATTCGGCAAAAAAAACGACTTCTACCGCTCCTTCGCCACAGAAGAAGCACGGACACTGTACTGCTGGCGGGGAATCTGAACGCACAAGTTGGAAAGTTATCTACTGATGAAATGCATCTGGGCGGTCAGCACGGTGTAGGCTCCCGTAATGATAACGATGAGCGGTTACTTCATTTGTGTGAAGATGCCCGCTTATTTCTTGCGAGCACTAACTTCTGACACAGCGCCCGTCGGAGGGTGACTTTGCGCCCACCAGCCTCGAATCATCCTTGGACGCAAATCGATCACATTGCAATCAGTTACCGATGGAGAGGCTGCATCCAGAATTGTCGCTCGATTTGGAGCACAGGTGTGGGCGCCGGCCATGCATGTGTATGTGCTGACATGCGGATGCGTTTTGACGGACGCCCAAGACGATGTTGTGAGCGCATTGACACCAGCCAACTAGCAAAGCCAGCTGTTTTGAATGCCTATCAAAGTACGCTGTCATGCGAGTTGTGTAAGCGCTCAAGGAATGCAATTGAAGGTCACTGGTCTCATATTCACCAGACCTCACTAGCAGCAGGAAAATCCTCATGTTGTAAGTCTGCTAGCCAACATGAATATTGGGTCTCTTCGCGGTCTCTGCAAGCTATCGATGCTCGCTGGTATATTCCGGCTGGAAGCGAACACAATGAAACTCGCAAAGAGCTCCGGGCAAAACTCCGTGTTAGCCTGAAGAGAGACCGCGAAACCTGATGGTTTCTTCGTGCTTCAGAGATAGAAGTAGCCGCTGACCTTGCTAACCATCGTACGTTATTCTGTCTGATACGGGAAACGGGCAGCAGGAAACCTGGTGTTAGGGAAACAATTTATGAGGAGAGTGGGTAGGCTATCCACAATGTGTTAAAACGTTTAGAGCTTTTGGCTAAGCATTTCGAGAAACAATTTAATCGGCCGGAATTGTTCAATTCCTCACCGGCCAGTGATCGCTTTGCTCCGTGAGCTGTCCCTTTGGATCCGCCTTCTTGCTCATAAGTCAAAGGTGAGATCGGACTGTGAAAGTTGAACAAAGCCGCGGGATCAGATGATCTTCCTTCAGCCCTCTTCAAATTCGGGAGACTTGCTCTTGTGGATGGTTTGCACCAGTTACTAATGAAACTGTGGGAGCAGGAAACTGTCCCAAACGACTGGAGCCGCTCCGTTATTTTTCCCATCTTAAAGGAGGCTCACGTTCGGGATGCAACAGACATAGACGAATCAGTCTGATCTCTATCGCCTCCAAATTAGTTGTCTCTGTAATCCTACACAGACTGACTGGCGCTCGTGAAAGCCAGATTTGTGAGGAACAAGCCGGATTTCGTCGTGGTCGTGGCTGTATCGACCACATCTTCACTTCGCGTCAATTGTTGGAGCACGGTCACAAATATTGGCGGCCCACCGTAGTCGTGTTCCTCGACATCAAAGGTGCCTTCGATGCGATTGATCGATGTGCCCGTTGGGACTGTCTACTCAAGAAAAGTGTGTCCGAGAAATATGTAAATATTATCCGAGCATTATACGCGCGTAGCAGGGGCAGAGTGAGGGTTTACGGCAAGCTATCGCCGCCCTTCAATATCTCCAGCCGTGTGGGACAATGATGCCCGTTGTCACCCTTTCTCTTTAACTTCGCTATTGATGAAGTCATGGAGATTGCATCGACAGGACACAACTTAGGTGTAGAGCTACTCCCAGGAGAACGACTTCTTGACCTGGAGTATGCAGACGACATTGCCCTAATATGTGACAGCACCCAGACGTGCCAAGCTTTACTGGAAAGATTAGCACTGGCTGTCCGTCACTTCGGGCTTTGCTTCGCACCATCGAAGTGCAAAGCTTTCTTCCAAGATTGGCAGGGATCGCCTGCGCTGACCCTTGGTGGGGATTAGCTAGAAGTCGTTAAGAAATTCAATTACCTGGAAACTTGTATCAGCGCCGTAGGGATCGAAGTTGAGATCACGAACCGTATAGCAAAAGCTCGAGTCCCTTTTGCTAGTCTTGGCCACCAATGGCGTCAGCGTGACATCACTCTTACCCTGAAGGTTAGAGTGTACAATGCAGCGGTACGTTCGACTCTACTGTACGGTTGCGAAACCTGGCCCCTAAGATCAGCGGACATGAAGAGGCTAGTTACGTTCGACCATCGGTGCCTTCGCAATTTGGCTCACATCTGGTGGGAACACCGCATGAGCAACGAGTGTGTTCGACGTCTTGTTTGCGGCACAGGAAAAGGAAATGAACCGCTCAGCACCGTCATTTCACGCACCAGGCTCTGATGGCTCGGTCGCGTGTTACGCACGCCAGCCCACCGACTCCCTCGACGTGCGTTGTTTGCTCACCGGGGTTGTGGATGGAAGAAGAGGAGGGGTTGCCAAGTGATGAATTGGTCGAGAGGAATGAAGACCCTCACTTCCGAGCTGGCCTCGGTTAGAGCGTCACGGCTACCTGGCTGGGGTCCAAAAGACGATGAACGCGTTTGGCTAGATACACTTGCTGATATGACTAGGAGCCGATCTCAGTGGCGTTCGTGCTGTGAGTTTCTTTGTCCCACCCCATCAATCTTAGCCTCTCTCTCCAACCACGAGCTCACTATTTAGCCTTATATAGTTTTGCGTAGTAATTTTTTGCTGAATTAGCCGGCTGGTAGCTTACCAGAACGATGCTCATCCGTCACCGATAGCTCAGCTGGCTTGCACCTGCTGCATGTTCACCTTTCTTTTATGTATTGCGGCACAGTAGCTGAGGTGGTTTACACCTCTAGCTAATGTGTATACTGACATGTATATTGATTGTTCTCTCGCTACTGAATTGCGTGTTTTTTTATGTCGATAGCATGTGTATCAAGGCTAGAGATTCACCCGTCAAGGGTGCATATGAGCGCGTTCTTAAACTGACGTGACTTTCAATGCTGGATGCTTGTCTACGAGTGATACACCAGGTTAAGTTGTTTTAAACACCTGATAATAAAGTGTAAATCCGTCCAATGGCACCACCTCGATTACCCACCCCAGAATACTACTTCGAAGTACGGGAACTAACAGAATACACCATTTTATGCTTTTATTAATCCCATAGAGTAGGTCTATCATGGAACCGGATATGGCCTAGTCACCAAGAAATGGATGTCTGATGAGCTTACATTCCCAAATTTTAAATAGGCATGCGCAAGCTGGTTTCAAGCATGCACTAGTTAAATGCTTGCATGTCGGGGTGTGATCCAGCGGTGAACACCAAAACAACAAAACACTGGAGTGACGGGTGCTGGTTTTCACGTGCAAGCGTTGCAACTCTACACCGGTGCGAATGCGACATCTATACCATTTCCCGGCCAAGTTGACCTCTTGGGCAACAGAAATAATCTGAGGGGCATTCAACATGAGTCTACTCAATTAATTTGTTCCGTGCGTATGCCTGTCACTTGTGCAGGTGTGTGGGTGTGCGTGTATAGCCCGTCGTCTTCAGCCTTCAGCCCCCAGTTCCCACAACCATCTCCGACCGGTGCACAGTAACGTCTAAATCGGAAAGTAAATTGTGCTTGTACCTCAATCTAAAGTTATGCACACTTTGAAAAATAGGGTGAACCCTCTGAAGGTGATAGTGGACTGGCTATGGAGCCCTTTTAATTAAAATGCAAAACAGTAATCATATTTCTATATTTGCCTCTCGTTGAGATGCCCTCAGAAGAGCCTATTTGGGAGGGGATTTGTCAGCGCTCACCTGGCTAGTTTTCAGTACGGAGGTAGAGCAAAGGGAGATGCAGGTTATTTGCATGGCCTGACCAAATATGTTGTGCCAAACTCCACATTGGTGGTGCCGCATATGAGGCCGTAAACGGAGGGGAATATCATATGACACAAAGCCGAGTTAATACATCCAATAATCAGTATGCTGGAGCGTGAGGTATACTAACGAGAACTGGATCATGAGAACGTAGATGAATACAAATCAGCATTAGTTCACAAACAGCGAGATGAACGATTGTTAACTACTGACCAGATTTGCATCTTTCATGCATAAACAGACCTTCGGCATGGAATGATTAAGATCCGGATAAATATTCAAGGATAACAGTTTAGCCGACGAAATGTCGTTCGAATTCCATCGTCACATGTAAGATTCTCCGCACGGAATGCATTTGTGGCACAGAGTCAACGCAACCACTGCGTGGTGTTAGATAGAGGTAGCGTTAATTTGGTTCATTCCTCAGTAAACCCACTTATTAGGCTGTAATAGTTATTGATTTTGCTAGTTCAGTGCCCCACCCCTATGAACCAAGTCAGTAAGTAATTAACGGTGTTTCAAAATGCATATTCTCTGGGGAATCAAATCAAAATGTTCCTGAAACTCCGCTCGACTCACGCACAAAAAGAAGTGGCAAGAAGCGTGATTCGAACGCGAAAGCTAAGCTTTTCTAGTAGAAACTCGTTGCTCATTACACAACCTCCGTTGCAAAACTCGGCAACCAACTGTTAGGTTTTCGAAATCCACGATATATGTTCAAATTATGGTACTCACTTTTGAGTCGAACTTTAAGGTATCGTGAAATATGCATCAGAAGAAGCCGGTTGTGAAGTCAATGCGATGCACAAACTATGTGTCAATATTTATAGGCGCGACGCACACACCGGCAGCAAAAACAAAAAGCCGCTACTGTGGTTTTTAGTTCTGAGACACTAATATTACGAACATGAGTCTGCGGTTCTCTTGACAACCAGCAAGAACAGTAAGGCATCTCAGCAAAAATATCAACATAAAGTCATAAGAAAAATGGTGTGTGTGTGTGTGTGAAACCAGGAGCTTACCTCCAAAGCATTCATGACGAAATCGGAAGATTTCTGCGCTCAGAAGTACAATGCCGTAGTAAATGAATGCGGCGGTAAACCACAACATCGGTAGCACTAATGAAGTACACAAATACATCCGGCTGAACAATTGCTTTACATGGCCAAGTTGTCTTTCCTGTAGGTGCAATGGAAGCAGGAAAGCAGGGATAATGTATGAAGCAGGAAGTAAACCCCTGCCCCTCTTTATGCTCTTTAAACAGCTGCTTAGAGTGAACCCGCTAAAGCCGGTGAATTGCTACGTCACCGGTCAAATGTACACAAACTAAGCGACGTTGTTAGAGGAAAAAGTGCACAAATTCGGCAGTCCATAATATATATATGTATATAATATATTGCAAAATAGTTAACTGGTAAATATTAATGGCTGTCTAACACAAGGGATTCACACAAGCTATTTCACACAGAAATTACGAGTGAGATTCTCAAACATAATCACATGAATCATGACAGAAACCATGAGGTCCGCGCAGGCTGAAACGGAGCTGAACGAAAAGTTAAGTTTGGTCAAAATTCAAGGTGACACAAAAGAGTTAGATTTTTCAGTACACATATGCACTGATGTAAGAACTCATTAAGCTGGAAGATTATGGTAATCGTTTCGGGAGCGATTTTCGACGGACAGCCGTCAGGAAACCAACAATGCATTTCTGACTTTCGTGGGATGTGTGCTATCCGGAGGTGGGTAGTGTACCAACAAATGTGTTGGGTTCATGTCCCTAAAACCGCTATCTCTGGTCATTGCTCGGAGAGTTCTGATGAGGAAGAGATTGCTTGTGACTGCAGTGTTACTGACGAATATCGTTGAATCCTTGGCCATGCGGTGACTACGGCTCCGATTCATGCCAGGGACCACTTAATTGTTGGATTAGGAATGTCACTGAGTATTGCCTTGTTAACCGCCCTTGGTTAGACGGACAAAAGCCCGGTGATATGTGGGCGACGTTGCACGTGGGGTAATGTCATGCGTATGCCGTTTTGCCTTACTACCTGAAGTGTGGGCAACAAGCAGGTCATGGAATGTATGCAGTAGTGCAGGGATGTCCAAAGTCCGGCCCGCGTTAACATTTCAAATGGCCCGCGGTCTCATCATGAAATAATAAATTCAGGCTGGACTTATTTCATACATTTAAGTTTTGTTAATACCTTACTGTCAGACTGAATATGGTCCGACATATTTTCCCTTACAAAATCTTTGAACACCCCGGCAGTAGTGCGTCCCCGTCGCAGCATTGGGATGAGGTAAGTGGACTGTCAACCTCACAGCTAAGAGGGAACTTGCGGACTTGCATTCAAGGACACAGGACTAAGAACAATCTCCGTATCACCGACATTTGGTACAAGTTTTCAGACGAGAGCGCGATGATTCAAAAGACGTCAGAGGCATAAATCACGGCTAGCAAATAGAATCAAATCGCAGTAGGCCAAACACACTCCTGGGCAATTTTTGGAGAATGCCAGTGTATGTGCAGCATAACACAAATGAGTGTAAGACACATGACACAGGACATAGTCGCGAATGATTGGTTGCACGAGAAATGATGTCCGAACTGTGGGCAGGCCGTCAGTCATCCAACAGATAGCGCAGCTAACGACAACGGTTCCACAGCCTACTTCAGAAAGCCACTGGTAACTTTACGACGGGTCGCTGCGAATATCAAAGAACAGTGCGGTATGCGATAGCAATTCGCGCATAGAATATACTCTTCGATGAAACGGTTCAGCAACATTAGGTAGGCTTTTGAAATCTCGTCATCCATATGAACACGTAAATGAGAATTAATACCAAGATGGACTCACCGGGACAGGAGATGCAATTAGACGACCATCAATTGGTTTGGTTCTATTCGCTGCAAATAGCTGCTTGATCACCACCTCAGCCTTTGCTGTGTTGCCCGCTGTAACCAAATATCGCGGGGATTCTGGAAGAAACTGTAACAACGTAAGAAAATGGAGATGGATTGGGTATTGGGAAAGTGTGGACAAATTGCGGGATCACTGACCATCTGCAGTTCGCACGCAACAGTTACAAATAAAGCAAAATAAATCCTAACCCCCGAAGGTCAAAAGTGACGTGATGCGGGGTAGTGTGTTGGAACCCTTGCCTGATGTAATATTTCACGTGTGTTCATGTTACAACCGGAAAGTATTTCGGACTCCATATATCTTATTTTTCATTAAGGATCGGATGAGGATCATCAACTCAACATTTTTACTCTTCGCGGAGCAGGTTAAGTTTTGACGAGCGATCAAGGGATTGGGCTACCATTATATCCCCCAGCGCGACCTCCATGAGGCTTGGAACTGGTCGGGAACGAAGGTGCTGCCATTCAATGTGGCAAGTGCAGCGCTGTACACACCCACCATCAACAAACCTACAGCAACAGGCTTGGGGCGCACGGTCTGAAGATCACCACTCAAGAACGTGACCTCGGTGTGATGATGCAGGACGGCCCAGATTGTTCCAGACAGTTCGAGTCCGTTACAAAAAGAGGGAACCAGCGTCTTCGTCTCTTGCAGAGGACACCCAAATTTTGAATTAATTCACATTCTCTCTGATGCTCAGTGCCTAGGTGAGCCCCCACGTCGAATACGCAATCCAGGTATGACAATCTTAGCTACAGCGTGACCTCGCAGCGCTCGAGATCTCACGATGTCGAGCAAAAAGTATGTCACGGCTTTGCGTTACCTTCCGTAACAGAAGAGACTGATGACTCTCAGAACGTTCAGTGGAAACTACCGGCGGCTACGTGGAGACCTTATATTTGTTTACCAAGTAATGAGGGATCCCGGCTATGTGTGCTGCCACCTTCTGCAACTCAACCCGAACATCAACCCGAGACACAACAGCTTGAAACTGCGACACCACACAGTCGTCTAGATTGTCAATAGACTTTCTTCTCCCTCCGGGTCTGCAAACCCTTGAACGATCTTTCAAACTCAGTAGTTTGTGCCCACTTGGCGATTTGCATAGAACAATTGGATATCGCACTGAGCTCCCTACACTTCGTTACATGAACGGATATTCTGGATATATTCAGGCTAATTAGATTCTTTGGAAATATAATCCACAACGTCGAGTCAAGTCAAGAATGTGCTTTATGCGCCCACGAAAATCTGTGCAGATAGGTGAACAACCCGAATGTTATCTGTTATAAGTATTAACCATTAAAAAACTGTGCTTCCATATTGCACCATTTCATTCCCACCATGCTATTATTTTTATACCGTTACTCTATTGATTCACTGCTACGCATTTTATCTGATCCACTTAGGTAGTATTCGAATCTGCAGTTTCGTCTATTACCAACCTATGGGACATACTAAGCCTGTGCTTTTTACCCGTAATAAACCACTGTTCTATTGATATTAAGATCGGTTTTGCTTGAGCGATACTCAGGATGAAATTCGCATAGACCAACTGGCCTTGGAGTTGTGGTTCCCATATTGGCAAATATCCTCAGTGGACCACTACAGTACGGTTACTTACAAGTGTGAACCTTCTTCAAACGCTCATCATCTTCTCTGGAAACTTGTTAGTGGTAGCAATACTATGGGCAAACTACGCATCCACTATCCTAACACTAAATTTTAGTGGGTAAGTGAAATTCATAATGACCAAATCATGCAAAGAAGTAAAACTCGTCACAAAAGCAATCGCAATGCATGATCCTGAATTGTATTTGTTTCAGGTCTGCACCCATCCTGCGCTATGATACTGTTAGATTATCTGTACAGGTAGTTCCCATTCATCAACTCTCTTCAACCCTTGCCCAAAGCATACAACCCTGAACATTGTAACCTGTTGTAATCGGAGTCACTATAGCCAAAACACATGAAACTCGGCTTAACATTCCTATGTGAGTTCATTCAAAAGCGTGTATTGGCGCCAAATATGACCACACATTTCAAACAAAGGGGTAGATACACAATCAATAATACCAAGTACACACTCCCTACGTTCAAAATGAGGACTAATGTCCAGAGAAAATTTTCTGGCCTTGTCGAACTAAGAGCCTGTGAATCGCAACCAACTTTCAAAAAAGCAGTTTCTTACTGCCTGACAGTAAAATACCTAAGAATAATGTTGCAACTAAATTGCAATGAAAAAATGATATTTTGAGTAGGGGCCGAGAAATAGGGGTGCTGATTACAGATAAACGTAAAAATGTTATACGTAGAATTTCCTTACTTAGCCAGGAACACATGGCAAAATGCATTATAAAGAAAGAGGAAAAGTTGACCGAAGCCCTTTCACACTTTTTCGCCCGACTATGTATACTTCTTTACTCGGGAAAGCATATACCACGACCACACCAATAGGTGTGGTCTGTGAAGAAATTGCAAGTTGTGTTTGCTCTACCATTTTCTGTCCATTCTCCTAATTGCGCTTACTCAGTCATGTCAACCTCGCAGTTAGACTAAAAGACGTGAGCTAGAGTGGAAGAGCTGCCTGAATCTATCTTCGTTCACGTTTCTCCTTCGTTCATTTGCTGCTCATTCAAGCCTCCCTTGTATCTTTCATACAAACCTCTTAAGCTGCAAGAAGAAGCTAATAAATACTGATTCCCACATCTTCGTCCACATTTGTCAGTTTTGTTTTTTTCTATTTCTTCTTACTCGCATGCACGTAGTGCACAGCTTATTAAAACGCTTGAGTACGTTATATAACGTCAGCCACGTCCACCTCACGCACGGTTAACCAATTTCCATCTTTGTTTGCACAGCTCAAATACAGCTTCGAAGTCGAAATTAAACCAATACGTTCGTCTTCAAATATCCATTTTTAGAACACCATAATGTATAGAAAAATGTTTTTATTTAAATTAAATGCTATATTCTATGCCATTGAATTGAAATGAATGTTTCACTTGTAATAACACGACCGCTCTATGTCCCTCAGCCCAAGCAAAGGGACATTTAATTCCGCCCGTCCACTAAGTTCTTTGTCAGGACACTGCGAAGTATTCTATATTCATTAATTGAGGTTCTTCGCAGTCAGCTTCGAAATCAGTTAGTCGTCCACATGCCCGGAAATGCACTAGACTGCAGTTGTAGCCAGTTGGGCATCGTCAGTAGTGCGCATCCACCGGATCCATCAGTATTCGAACTCATGATCACCAGCGGCTTGAAGCGCCAGTCAGCAGCTTATGCCCCTGGGCCACGGGGGACAGCTTCGGACGAACGAACAGTTGCAGAGGACAAGGTTGGCCCTGAAAGACACGACGACTACTAACAGTAGCTATGTAAGACATAGCATTGGCAGTGGAGGATAAGACGCGTTATATCGCAGTTAGCTTGTAAATCATGACTGTTCGAATCTGTCCCACGTGGCCCAGTGGCATAAGCTGCTGACTGGCGCTTAAAGCCGCCGGTGGTCATGGGTTCAAATCCTGATGGATCCGATGGATGCGCACTACTGATGATGCCCAACAGGCTGAAAAGGCAGTCTAGTGCTTTTCCGGGCATGTGGACGACTAACTGATTTGGAAGTTGGTTACGAAGAACCTCAATTAAGTATACTATATTCGTTCGGATCATTGAGCAGGAAAACCATCACTAACAAAAATATGGTACCAATTTCAGTCTAAAATTTGGACTATCCTGTGGATATCAGGTGAACGGATGGTAAGACTAATTGATCATGCCGAAAGCGGCATGTCTCGTGAAACGCGGAATATGCGTCATTATTATTAGTACTAGTTATGTTTTTAAACTAAGTACAAAAACTCTCACGTTTTGGATATTTTAAATACCCATCCTTATGCCCGGTTTAATACCGTTCTAGTACTTAAATCCAACCGGTTTACGCACTGCGTGCATTGAAAATCAAATTGGTGTGTGTGTGTGACAATGGCAATAGAGAATAGGATAGTGCACTTGCGCACGTATAGAAGCAAAACAAATGCGCTTTTTACCCTAAAAGCAAAAACAGGCACAGTGACACACACAGTAGAACACTATGCTCAGTATTGATGGATGGATTGAATGCGCTGATGATTATCCCTAGGGAATGGTGACTGGGTACAATATCATGGCGCAGTTGATATTTGCATATTTGGGTTAACGAACGTGTAACATTTTCCGTCCAAAAATGGTGACATATCCGTTCCGATGGGAGCCTGGTAAGCCCAAAAATGTTTTAATGGAGTTGTCCAATTTCCTTGAGTTGAGGAAGTAAAGCGACAGATACGTTTTTTATTGAAGTTCATAATCACAAAACTATTCGAAAGGTTAGCAAGTATGTAAGCTGGAATACACCTTCGTCGTGCACCAATAGTCCGCCAAGAGATACAAAGGTTTCCGTACAGTGAGAACATAAGGGACACTTACCTTCAAGAGGATGAGGAAAAGAGTCAGTGGCACAGCGGAGGCAAACACCAGCCACCGCCAACCGAATCTTGGCAAGATGAGATAGGCAAGGCCAACCTCAAGTGTGCTTCCGATGGCCCAAAAGATCTGGTACAAAGGTGAGGCAAAGAGAGCAGTGTGATTTGTTTTGTTTTTGTAAACGCATGTTACTTTCTTCACGTATTCAACCCTTAAGGTGGATGCATGCTTGTCTGGTATTTGTTCTGAGAGGAAATAATGATTCTGTGCTTGTACTCTGATTTAATCCCCGGGTACAATGCGAACGAAACAATTTCGTGTCAAAAATACTTTGGTAGGGTATACAAGGTTAACCTTGTCAGGGTTAATGACCTAGTCTGCCGGGTAAATCCCAAGTGACTCACAGTATAGTCAATCAGACAGAATTCGGAATATTGGGTCAATGTGCTCTAAACGACAACCCGAATGACAAACTGCTTCTACTTTGGCGCAATCGATCCTGCTCCTATTTATATCCCTGATTCGATCGGCCTTGGGGAAAAGCTGGATAAAGACAAATAAATGAGCGCGATATGCGTTTACTGTCGAAACACAGTGCCGCTAGTTAAGAGACATCGCAAAATGCTCTAGCTAGGGGGAGTATGGTCGCCACCTCAGACGTCTTAAGCATTCCTCGGGACGGAAAGTCGGAGGTGTGCTAAATGCGATCTGTCTGGTTAACTCAAATATGTGTAGTCAAGGTTTCAAAAGATATACTTTTTACTTTGGCTAAGTAAAAGGAAAAATATATTTTTGTACTATTTTGCACATCGTACCTCGGACAAACGGGGGAATCTCCAGGTTGATACATTACAACCTATGAAATAAAACAGATCGATAAACGTGCCAGTGGTGAGCGAATCGGTGCGTCGAAACATGATAGTGGATGAGTGTTTAAGACATACCTGGTCGTCTGGTGTTCTTTTTCATTTGACGGTTGTAACAGTAGTCGTCAGCAACGGTTAAATAAGCATGCAAAACACCATCTTCTGGGGTTATTCCTTTGTTGCTACTATGCTAGAGGGAAGTCTAGTATCGTTAGAATGTAGAATAAGTGGCAGAAAGTGTGAGTACTAAGCTTTCCGAACCTCATTGAAACAATCTTTATCCGAAGCCTGCACTTTAAGGTCTTTGTGAAAATGGATGGAGTAGACGCGAGCAAGTTTGAAGTTTATACTCCTATCACAATGATTTGGAGAATATTCGACGGGATGAGAAATACACATTAAGTCCACCTCGTTTACAATCAGATGAACTCTGAGAAGAAACATCACGCAGCATCCGCCAGAGATTGTCAACCGGAATGATGAGTAAGTGAAAGTGAGGCGTTTTCATGGCGGTTGAATGCTCGCATTCGTCGTACACCCAAACTGCCTCGTTTCATCATCCATGCTAGGCTTATGGTTTGAGTTCCTCTTCTTTCAAGCTCATGAGTAATGGGACACCGGTTAATCGGCCTTCTAAGCTTGAACTGAACAGTTAACAAAGCTCGTTGTTGATCGCAAGTTGTTAAGTCCTCATTGTGTCAGGTTTCGTTCACTGTTTTGCTTAGCATGTGATCACGTTGCTAATCTTCAGTTAAACAGTAGAGACGAAGAATGGATAGTTGATCAGTTCACTCGCTTTTACGGTATCAGAGACGGATATGTAGCTGCTGGGGTTGATTCACATATTTTGGAAGATGGAACCGGTTTATTACATCGGTATCTCTGTAGTTGAAAGGAAGACATATACCTTGGGCATATGGGTCATGTACGTGTAATCCAAGTGAAAATTATTCCCAGCTACCGCAATAAAAACTGGTTCTGTTCTCTATGCTGTTATCTATCCCGTTATCTAGGCTGTTATGCTATTATCTATGCAGTTATCTATACCACTATTGTATCCTCTCTGTTTCACAGAGCCCAGACTCTTTGTACCCAGGAGGAGGACAAGAAGACCGCTCGTAAGCAGATGGTGAACAAATTAGTAGACAGTGGATATCCGAGGCGGTTAGTGAAACGCCAGTTACAGACAGCTCTAAATCCACCTCCGCGACGCACAACGGATTGGATTGGGACAGTGGGAATCCTTTATAAAAATGGAACCTCAGAAGCAATCAGACGAGTACTAAACAGGGAGAAAATAAGAGCGATTTTTCGAAAAGGCCAAACGCTCTATTCAGCACTTGTGCGTTTGAAGGATCCACTTCCAAGAGACAGGACGACAAATTGTGTTTAGAAAATCAAGTACAAAGACTGTGAACACGTGTATATAGGTCAAACAGCGAGATAGCTACGCACGCGGATAGCAGAACACAAGAGATAGGTTTCGCGTCCACCGAGAAATGAGCCTGAATACAGGGCCCTACTTAGAGATTCAGCGGTGGCCGTACATGCGCTAGAGGCAGGACACGCGATTGATTGGGACAACGTCGAGATACTTAGGAGGGGATTACCAGCAACAGGCCAAAGGTTAATTGCTGAGGCGATCGAGATTACTAAGACTAATAACTGTGTGAACAGAAGAGACGGGGTGGAGTTATCGAACGCGTGGCGGGCTGTGTTAACCCGGTCAGTCAGAAAAGGTGTCGGCGGACGAACTCATGTCAGAACGTGAATCAGCAGCTGCAAGAAAAGAATGCCCCACATGTGAACGACCGGTGACGTAGATCAATGAGAAACGCTTGATGCTTGTTGTTTCACAAGCATGGCCCCTTGACATATTGACCCGTAACACTATTATCCAATGGTTCATGTTATGTCTCGCAACCTTCAACTTACGTTACCCTAAAATGCTAAGCCAATTTTGTACCGATTCACCTGGCCTGAAGAAGCTCTTGTGTCAAGGGCGAAACGTTGCCGCAATAAAATCCTACCAAAACCGATTTGTATTCAAAACCTTCTGAAATCATGAAACCCCAGTCGGTTCCAAGCATATGCCGAGATATTGGTTCTGTTATCTTTGAACAATGTGGCATTTCACTGTAGTCGGTTTCGTGATGACATAAATCGTCTTGATCGTTCCAGCGGTCACCAAACTCATATGTATGCATCCCTGTGATTTCGAAATGTGTTTCCAACAAGCAGCTAGATTACTGCAAACGAATGATTAACTTTCGCTGCACTGGACGCCTTATGATAGTATTCAAGTCCAGCTTTGGGAATGAAAAGGTTAACGCATTGACTAAATGTGCAATCATTTGACTACACCATGGTTGATGGCATCGTGGACGTTTCGACGTGGTGCTGAACACCAGACTACAGATGACGACATCAGTTAACCCATGGCTCGAATATCGTTCTATGATAAACAAGCGACAAATCAATGTGGAATGGTAAAAACTATGATATTGCTACGGACAAGTACTACCAGGAGTTAGTTAAACATCGCGTAACTATGGCTTAAAGCTTTTTGTCAGGGCCTAGACAAAGCTGACGTCAACGTCACCGTCATTGTAGATAACCTCTTTGAGGTCATTATGGTTGACAACGTCGAGGTGCGGGCGCTTCATACAATCTCTCTGTGCGCGAAACTTACGTAGAGTTTTCCTGATCTCATCTCAGCAATCGTACTTTCATTGAATACTTTAAGCGTCGTTCACCTGTGACACCTAGGTGCCCACCGTATGAAGGTAAAACAATGGTACATAGTTGGGTGTTTCTTCCCTTCAAATCAGATATTCTCCAAATGCCCAGAAAAATATTAGACATACACAGGCACCGTTAGTGGAAGTTGTGTCTCTCCTAACATGCTTGGCAGTGGAGGATGGGACGCGTTAATTCGCAGTTAGCTTGTAAGCCATGAGGGTCCATCGCTTTCCCTCATGGCTCAGTTGCAGAAGCTGCTAGCTACTAATGTAAACCACTGGTTCCACAGATTTGGGGCTGGGTTTCCGCTGCAGCCCAGGGAATGCGCACCACCGAGAAGTCCCCATGGGATGAAACGGTCTTCTGGTGCTTTACCGGATGCGTTGCAAGCCATTTGCTTTGGAAGCTCCTGTGGTGTACTGTCAACACAATTATCTCAAAAGCTCCTACACATTAGTAATATCCGAAGGACTCAGAAATGTCGATCCTACCTGAAAGGCGATCAAGACTCTGGCCCGGTGCTTCACAGGTAGAAATTCCGATAGAAGCATAAAGCTGAAAGTAGAAATACAAATAGTGTAAGATAGCAAGCAGTTATAGGTATTCAGACAACAACACCATGGTGCACGTGGGAAGAGAAATTTGTCTAAAATGCAACGCTTCTTTTTAGAATAAAATCATGATGCCGTTTGTCCCATTGGGTAACGGTTTGGAAATAATAAACAAATGCACCAATAAGATAATCTAGGTATCAGTCGGTTCACCATGGAGATTGCATACAGATAGACAGGATGTTTACCTATTGTTACCAAATGATGATTGATGGAAAATTATGTGCAGAGTTTTATCACCTCACGATGGCCACAACCGATAGTATTTCGTGCAGCTGAAGCTGTAAGTTGACAGTTTAGTATTGAGACCGCTGCTACGTTCCTTACGCCATTTCGCTTGCACTGCTATCAAATCGGCGCCACTTAATTCATCTTTAATAACCTCTGTTGTAGCTGGTTTTCTTTCATGGTCTAAATTTCCACTGGATGATTACATTTCATTGCGAAATCCAGCGCTACCTATGTCGGCTTTCGATAGGATTCATTATTTAAACATTAGAATGAATGAATAAATAAATATGCTCAACTATGCGAGGCACAACCTAAAAGGGAAGCTGATAAAGGTACATTGGCACACAGAGGTCAGTGTAAATGACTTGGTACGAATTGGTTGAACTCTAGGACTGGAACTTATGTTTGAGTGGATCAATTCTTCCTCACATGTGCCCTTAGTGTTGCCTAGGTTATAGTAATGGCCTTCACAAATTATGACGCTTATGTAATCAATTGTCACGACATAGACGCGAACGCCGACTGGATGAGACCCCCTCCCGTTAGCGTGCTGTCCCCCCAGTGAATGCAGCCTGACGACGTTCTACTCGATCACGTGTCGGTCGCACGTGTTAGTTCCACGTGTTGGCGGAGTGGTTGCACGCAAACTGTCCGTATGGGACACAGCACGGCTCTCGATGTCTGAGCGGGTGCGGTTTGTGCAAGCGTGACACAGGTCGCGTGTGGCCACTTCTATCCGGCGAGAGCTGAATGGACGCGTTTTAGACTGGTGAATACTTGTTTCTATGTGAAATGCCCGAAATAGTAACTTGCCAGCTCGTTACCATGGTTTCTCTACTGGGAGCAGGCACCTCTTAAGACAGGGAGCAACCGGATGTGGTGGTGCTGTGCTAATTCGATTAGTGTTTGGTTCTTCAACCTTTTGGTAACGGCTCGGTCAACTATTAATAGATCCCAGTGGGCAAATGTTACTGGGACGTGACCACCATACGAAGTAAGCGATATTTCCATGCTGTGGAGTTGATTAAGAATCACCAATGACACTTTGGGTTCCACATGTACTGGTAATTCGACCGCACGTGATTATGGTTGCGTGTTTTCATCGCTGACATAGATACTGATAACATGTGATAGGACAGTTCCCTGTCCGTCCGATTTTTCAATCTTCCAGCTAGCATGGGATGTTCGGGGTAATATCCACTGCAGCTGGTAGCCAGCATGTCGGATATCGTTACTGTTCCCAGTTTCCCTCGTGGCAAGTGAAGGTCGAATTCGCACCAGTCAATTTCCTATAAGGTGTTCATGTCGGTCTGTTTGTGTCAGATACATGCACAATCTCTAAGTGCTGTCATGGTCCTAGAATATTGTCAAACAAATTTAACTGCCTATGGGAGACCGGAGCAATATTGCTTCCCACCCGTGTGCCTCCACTTCGTATTGCTTCTGGTTTACATGGGAGCTGGATAAGGTGAGTGATGCAGCGCATGCCATCATTCGTTCCGCTGTAGGCCCGGAGTGTATTGGTAATTCGTTTTCACAGGGTTGCACAAATTCAAGTACAATTGCCACAAACTGCCTGGGTGGACATTCGAACTTGTTGAAATGGGAAAGATGGATGGTTGAGAGCATTGCCTTGCCAGCTCTCATCGGCAGCTTCTCAGCTTGGTACCGTGGCCCATTTTTAGTAGATGGGACAAAACAGTGTATACATATTTCAAACTCAGGTGCTGTTTCGTGTGACCACCACCAGGACATCATGATACGGGAGACTGGGTACTGGATTACTGAATGGAAGCAGCAGGAAGAGATATCACTGTGTAGCTGCGTCTAGAATCCATCAGGCATACTAACCAATTAGGTACTCGATCATTCCCGATATTTCATAACACTGAATTTCTCGCCAATGAATTCTTAGATTTCGACACTGAATTCGATTCGGCTACTTGCAGCGACAGGTTTTCCTTTCGAAGCAGCGTAGATGAGCGACCCGCTTCAAATCAGGTACTCCAAGCTTGTACTGGTGTCCTGGTGTGCCACTTGATGCGCGCATATAGGGCAACGGCCCCAACATGAGGTAATCACCAAGATGTAATATCCGGTGCATCATGATAAGGCTAACCTGCACTGGTGATAAGACGGAATGCAAATTCCTAACCTCTGTGCGCAATGTTAGACATGAATTGTGAGCCCCATCTAGGTCCTCGATGATCACTGGACCTTTGTCATGGAAAGGCTTTTACGAATCTTCGGACCTTATCGATTTAAGCATAGCATCTGACGTCAGTCTTGAATGGCATCCCAGAAGCTTGTTTAACATACTTCTGCATAATTTGCAATACGGAATAATAAAGTAGGTTAAACTAAACTAGACGCCACATTGAAAGGGTCGATGGATGAGTGCATCATCTCAACATTTTCAAATGGGTACCCGAGTTAAAGGTAGAGAAAAATGACATTCGCGCTAACTTCAATTACGAAGTTGCTGGTACTTAAACTATCGGAACGAAATTGCGCTATTCTCAGCAACTCAAATGTTGATGATATCATTTTAGAGAGTTGTGTTTTGTCATACCGGCTTTGTGTAAAAAAACTGTTCTCGCAGTCGTTGCAACAGTCGATCGTATCCAAAAGAATAGAACTGCCGACATACAGAGGAACAGAGTACGAATGGACTAGGAAGCTTGAACCCCATGTAGTGCTGAAAGATAATGTTGTCAAACGGCAGGGAAACGGAGCCAGCGGGCAGGTCAAGCAAGTGAGGTTCGATAATGCAGTCGATTGACGGTCATTGCATAGGCTGTATGAATTGGGTCTACTTGGTTTGACCTAGCTAGTTCGAGGTGCAACATTTCTTCCAACCAAGAATAAGTTGACTAGCTGAGGTACCAGTGTAGGGGGTTGAAATGTAACTGGCGGCACATGGTAGAGGTGGACCACAAACCATTTAAAAGGGATAAATAAGACACGGCCTCTGCCATTTGGACAACCGGCCGTCGGGTTTCAGCATGTTTTGGATCACTTACTAAATATGAACGGAATGTTACAAATAAGTAACAGAGTATGTTTAGATATGACGCAAGGTGGTATCAAACACCGTAACGTCACCGGCCACCAACTATATGTTTCTTTCCAACAAAGCCGTACACTCGGCCCGGGTCAATGACTGATAGGCTGCCGCTAGGAGACTGATTTCTCGACTCAATCCACATTGCAGAATTTCTTGGCTTAGACCAGTCTGAAGATAAGATATGGGAACAAGGTCCAGGTCGATTATAACATTAAAAGGTGGCCTTGTAGGTTACACTACTCACGCAACCTATTGGCTCCAACCGATTCAGCTCTTCGTTGTAGACGGGCATTCAGCCCCACCTGCTGCTTTTATTACTCAGCCTGTAATCCCTCGCTCTTGCAACAAGCAAGGGTGACTGTAGTACACTGTGCGATGCAGCGCCTTAGCTTCGTATCAGTTCTTGTTCAACTATCCACTTACTTACCTCAACCCGTCTGATTCTGTACTGTGAACCGGAGTTCACCGCCATCGTCGGCTTTCCATCACTCTAACTGCACTAGCTCTCATTTCTGAGCAAGATAGGGCGACTGATTCACCTGCGCGACGCAGCGCATTAGTCTCCTATCCACTGGTGTTCACATAGATTTCACGTCATTAAATGCTTATTCAGTTTGCTGTAAACGGGCATCCAGGCCCACACATTGCAGGTCATTACTCAGCCTACATCAGCTATTTTCCCCCAGAAACCTGGGACTACAATTATCCTGTGCGACGCAGCTACTTAGCCTCGTATCTGCAGTCACTCACGTACCCTTTATACGTTGCAACCGCTTTCACTCCTCGCCGTTATCGGCGTCCAGCTCTAACCCGCATCTCTTCGCATTTCCCGCTGTTTACCATTTCGTTGCCATAAATGTTATTTATCTGTTCTTACGAAGACACACAATACATAATGGTTCAACGATTAATCCATTGTCGCATGTTGTTCACTTTTTTGAGCGCTTCCACTGCATTTTCGTCTGGCAGTATGTTCGGTTACCTGTTGTCCGTTATCCTTCTTTCCGAGTGTTTCAGACATCTTGGCCAGTATCTGAAGAACCTTGGAATAACGGAGGATAGCCCATAATCAACGATTCCGAACCCCACTCCCATGAGGCTTGCCGTTCCCCCAACTGGATACAGGCAGGCATCTAACGCTGCGCAAGGAGATCTGACACCATTGAACATGACAAGCAGGCGAAGATGGAAGCCAGGTGACTGCGGAGAGCGGTGCAAGCTACCGGTTCGAGGTCAAACCATTCCAACTTACTGTGAACCCAATTTGGGTCACTGATACAACATTTACTAGCAAGATATATCTATATTATTACTCGTGACTAGCGACACCTTCGCATTCGCATAGCAATTTGTTATTTCAACATAGAAACATTTATCACAGACACATCCCAGATCATTTATCACATGTATCTACACATTTTGCCAAGATTAATGTCTGGTCGCATATCTGCTTGTACCAAACTGATCATGCCTTCTTTCGTGTGTCTTGTGTAATATCGAGAATATACATTTTTATTTTACTTACTTTATTTTTTGTCGCTGAACTTCTCAGGGAAACAGGTTTCAGATATAATCCAGCCACTTGGAAATTTTTACTGCGTTGCAACGCTTCGGGAAACCATTTGCTTCGACCGAGAAAGATAGTT